ACAGTTGATGGTCAGGTCAATGACCGCAAGCTTGAAAATGAGCAGGTATGTACTTACCACTTGATTGTTTATTAAAGTTTTATGAAATTAAATCCCATGGTTGAAACATACAGACATGTTGTGGTCGGGTTTTAACAGAAAAGTATAGAAGGCGATCAGGAGAGAATGATAGTGACAGATGAGGATAAAGTTTTGAAATTCACCAAGACGATTTGTAGGAATGAGGAACTGAAATTCACCCCTACACTTTCGATGATTTCCCAATGATTCTTAGATACCAATAACTACTGATCTTTGTTGCCTCTGAAAAATATTTGTCCTTTGATTTTTAAGCATCGATGGTCACCGACAACGCAAAAGAAGGTGAAGGATCATACACAGTTCATGTTTATTGATTTAATACGTTATCTGGATCTCACAACTTCAGAAGTAGGGTTTCTAGAAAACCAAGGTTTTTGAGCTATAGGTTTTGAATAAAATGAGTTTTTATAAAGACGTAGCGAGAGAAAACGTTTTTGAATATGATATTCGAATTCAGAGTTGAAAGATGGATTTTAAAAAAAGAAATTAAGTATCTAACTCAAACTCCCCATTTTTTAAAGCAAATTTTAATTTTTAAAAAAGGGAGCTTTTTTAAAACCTCTATAACGCAGCTCAGGTAGATGATAGAGAGCTCGTTCAAACGGCATTTGAAAGAGTATTAAAAAGCGTACAAACGAAGGGGTTTGCAATGTTCGCACATCACGTGATCGGGGTTTTCTAAGGGATTTAAAAATTAAAATTTGCTTTAAAAATTGGGAGTTTGAGTTAGATAGTTAATTTCTTTTTTTAAAATCCATCTTTCAACTCTGAATTCGAATATCATATGCAAAAGCGTTTTCTCTCACTACGCCTTTATAAAAGCTCATTTTATTCAAAACCTATAGCTCAAAAACCTTGGTTTTCTGGAAACCCTACTTCTGAAGGTTTTTGGAAAAAATGTCCACTTACTAAAAGAAAGAACATGACTCGAAATCCTCAGGTCCCAAGTTTTGTACCCGTCCAGCCAGCCATTTTGGAGATAGTTTTCTCATGTTACACGCCTATTCTTGTTTCTCGATCTAATATTAAAAGTTCTTTAGGATTTAGTCCGAAAAATACTGAAATCATCCTAGTGTAGAGAAAAACGTTGAAAAGAAAAAACTACGGGCATAAACACAGTTTATTCTCTTTCTATAAAAAAAAAAGACTATTTTCAGAACAAAAACAAATAATGTTCGTTATTTCTCATTTTTCTTCAGTTGAGATCTAACCAAACACCAGTTCATCCTTCATGATCAAGACGTTGATGTGTAGTGATACTGCGTTGATTGCAAATACTATATAGTGATATAAGTGCATGTGTAAAAGCATATTCTAGCATTATACTTCTACTATAGTAATATATTCTTTGCAGTTCTTCCTTTCTATTTTGTCTAAGTTGGAGTGAAATGTGATGCCTATACTTCTGAATCACTTTTTTTTTCTTTTTCAGATTTTTATTGATCAAATACAAATAAATTTGATAATTGATAACAGAACAAAGAATTCAAAAAATAATGAATTTATTTACTCGTAAAAGCGTGGCTTCGGTTATTTTACCCTCACCTTCATCCTCTGCTCCACCCGAAGCATTTGCACAAAATTCAATGTATGGTAAAGGATTTTACGAACCGGGTCAATATCAAGTGGCATTGAAACGATGTGAAAATGGACATGATTTAGCTTTGCATCTATGTGAGATGTTTGATGAACGCACACAGATTGAAATGGCCTATATAAATTCATTAAAAAATTGGTCTAAAAAATGGCATGGAGAATTAGTTAAATCTCAAGAATATGGCACAAATAAAAAAGTTTGGGATCAGACAGTGGCTACAGGTGAGAAAGATTGTTTCATTTATAAACTTGTAAATTTTGGAGTATTAAGTGAATTAGACTAGATCGTGAGGAACGAGCTACACGAATTAATCCTGACAGCTATAGTCATCATTTATTCCGAGTTGACTGAACTTATCCTCTTCATTTTCCGTTTTAGGAGAAGTAATGGCCGATATTCATTCGACATTAGCGTCGAATCTAAGCGATAGTATCACTCCAAAACTACGTCAATGGCGCAAAGACAATTATGAAAAATCACTCATTCACTACAAAAAAACTAAAGAATTCGAAAAAGATTTTGATTCTGTACAAAAAACGTGGATAAAATTGTTAGATAAAATTCAGGAATTAAAACAATCATATTATCAATCATGTAAAATGTTAAAGCATGCGGAAGCCAATGAACGAAATGCCTCGGATGATGAACAACGACGAAAATTATCAGATAAAGTTGATGTGGCCAAACGTGAAGTTGGTTTTACACGAACCAAATATCAACAAGCATTAAAGGATATGTCTGATCAACGACCACGTTATGAACAACAAATGTCGGAGGTATTCCAACGCACACAACAATTTGAAAAGAAACGTCTCGATTTTTTTAAAGAAACGTTCGATGAATACGAAAAAGTATTAGATCTTAACAATAATCCAATGTTGAAAAAAATGCACGATGATTATCAACAAGCCTTGCAAATGCATGATTCACAACAAGATATTACATGGTGGGATCAAAATTATGGTAAGTAAAGTCTTGCATAAAACGAAGAGATGATTATTGTGTGGCTAATTTAGGATCTCATATAAAATATGAATTTTTCGAACGACTGACTAATTGAAACTGTTTACATTCAAGGAATTGTATTGTGTGTGCGTATCAAGCCAGAGCTCTTTATAAAATAATGCTTTTTATAATTTTTCAACTGAAAGCTGCACTGTTAGTTTCTTGTTTTCATACAGAAATGGCGTTTTTATCTTGACTTTTATCGATGTAGTGCGCTCACGTATAAAAAGAGTTTGTCATACATATTGTCTTTGATCTGAGCATTTGTTCTTTGTTAACAGGTACTCAAACAAATTGTCGTTGGCCTGAATTCGAAGAATATCCAGAAGAAAAATAAAAAGCCAAATAATTGAGGTATGTAACTGATATTTTAGTCAAAGTTCATTCACTAGATGGTTATTATGATGCTTTCAAATTGGTGAAGAGGTATTATACCCCAAATATAATCCTGTGCAACTACTTTCTATCTTTTGTTTCAAATTTAATCAACTTGTACAGCAATGATGAAACATATAAGCTAAGGAAAGTTCCACGAAGAAGATGCAACACACAGAGATCATGCAGTACGGAGACGATGATATAGATAAGATGATGACATTTTAGAAGGATGATGTAACGTACTGAGTACTCAGTATAATATCGTAATGTTGCATGATCTTCTTAGGTCTCTCTAACCTAACAAGAGGAGGAGATATACATGTTGGTTATATATTCTGTTGAGGATTCCAAGTTAGATCTGCTAAAAAGCTAAGATTTTATCATATTAGACAGATAAGATATGAAAAGAAAAAAGAGATTCTAGATATAGAAAATAATTGAATATATTTTTCCATTTTTTGTTTTTTAGATAAATGAACAAACTGTTCTCGGTGAAACGTATGGCAATTGTTTTATTACTTGTACAAACGATTAGCTTTGCATGTGTGTGGGTGTATGAAATAATGTGTCACTTTTTGTTCTCTATTAGAACAGACAATATTATTTTATCTTATACTGATTGCATTTTCTTGTTGTTTATCAAGACGCAGTCGCTTTTCCGTTTATCACATATGTGCATTAGTATTATTGTACCTTTCTCATTTTTGATTGATCATGAAGATCTTTTTTATGGTGGTTGTTTTTCTCTTTCTCTTTCGTATTTATATATTTATTCTATTTAGCAATAGTCCATGCCAAAAAATATGACATAATTGATTTATAAAAGTTATTTATATTGCCAAATGATTAATCGTCGGATGTATACAGGTGTATCTAAGTGACGTAGTGCGCTTCGCTTTATAAAATATTAATTAACCAACGAAACAAATGTCGACTTCGATAAAAAGCGAGACCCGATTTGATTTATGAACATCTGCAATTACATAATATCTAGATGTTCAGATATTCTGATATTCAAATATTTATAAATTCAGTAAGATCTTCGGTTATTCAGATATCTAGACGTATAGATGATACATAGATGTTCAGCTCTACAGGTATTTTCCTGTTTTCTTTCACAGTGGCGAATATCAGGGAGGGGCTCATTCTCATCTCCCCGCCCTCTCTTTTCCCCATTTATAGAAGAACACATATTTTCAATTTATACTGGAAAAAACCAGGCTTTTGTGCTTTTCTGCCTTCTCAGAAAAAATACACATTTTGAATATATGCTAGAAAAGCAAGCTTTTCTGCTTTCCTTTCAACATGATTGTATGTCGATTTGTTTTCTCGACTTTTGGAGACCGGTCTGAATATCTAATAACCTTTTCCAAAAATCATAATTGTGAAAATCAGACCCTATTGGCGAAATCCCCTCATAAGATCAATGTGCTACAACCGACTTTTAAAGTCGCATAAATATTTAATCACTATTCAACAAGCGAACAAAATTAAAATTATTTTAATTTGACTAATTTTTAGAAAGCATATCGCGATCTACTTGTCTATAAAACTCTGATCTTGACCATTGATTAAGAAGATGGAGTAACTTTGTAAATATGGCATATAATTAATTAAATTTTCAATAATCATAAACGATGTAAAATCGTTTTTTGTAGTTGAAAATCGATTATGTTGGATTAGGGTGGTGATATTGTGAAATACACGGACTAAGTCACTGGTGAAAAAATATGTACCTTCATATAGTATAACCCAGTCATTGAAATTCATCAAAGCTATGGTGGAATCTTCCATAAGAGAACAAGCAGACGGACAGTTCGATACTAATCTTTAGCGCATTTTTTTGGAAATATTAATTAATCATTAGTAAATATGTGACGATATATAGATGGCATGCCTCGTGAAATTTGTCTGCTTCTCAGTACCTATATTTTTGATGGCAACTCTCGAAATTGGATTGAGGTAGTAATTTTTTAATAGTATTTGTACACGACTCAGACATGGTATCAATTTGAACCAAATAATTGCGTAATTGAACTTAAATCATACTTGGTATTTGAATAATATCAGCGATGGAATGTATAGTGGTGAATAGATGAAACACAGTTCGCCAACAAAACTCAAGTCAAAGGATAAGAAATGCTCGCGAGATGAATGTTGTACTCATATCTGAGTATTATTTAATGCATATCTGAATTGAGACGAATTCAGAGATAAGTAAATCTCGTTACTTCAGTCTAACTCAAGTTCAATTCCACTGAGGATCGTATCTAAAGCTGGAATTTGTATGCTTCAACTCAGTTTTTTCTTCTGTTTTTCGGTAGTCCACAAGAGCCAACTGGATATTTTGTTTTGCAGTGTCTCAATTCCAAATTTGGCTAGGCACGTGGCTATGTGTTAGAAAAGTGATATGAAAGTATCTAAGCACTCTTCTTATACGGTTTCGTGTGCGTTGTTTCTAGAAGGGTGACTTTTAAATTTCCAAAGTATGTTGGTGCAGGATTTTCAGAGATCCGATCTCTGAAAAATCATGTCCACGTGGCAAGTCAAAATTACTGTGTCGATACACTAAAACCGTCGTATTACATTGGATCAAAACATTTTTTGTTCAGAAATACTTCATATGCGCATTATTCGATGCAGTTTTATGTGCTGATTTCAAATATATAATTACTTTTGTGTAAAAGGGCTCGTGGGCCGAGAAAAATGAACATTACTTAAAAAAACAAAGGTTTTTTGAAAATCCTGTGATCCAGCCTTTAATCATTTGGACTATTTTGGACTAAAACCATATATGTACTATTAGGAGATGAACATTTTGTAAAAATTTCACCGAATTCGGAGCTTGAGAAGCTCATTATACTGCACACATCTCTTCGGAAAACGCTTAGCGTAGATAAAAAAGTTATTTTCTCTCTGCCGGAGTATCCAAACAAAAAATCTTTTTATGAATCGATAGGTCGTGTGGTCTACTTTTAGAATATGTATGATTTTCCAGAAAATATCTTCTGGTTTCGAAAATAAAGCCTTCCTTCTATTCTCGCAGCACTAAGTTTTTCGGTAACGTTTCCACTACGCATTTTCTGACTAACTGTGCAATCTGGAACAAAATGTTGATGCCATTAAATAGCCCATACTTCAAAGTATACTGGCTACTATTTGAATCTTTAAAAAGAAATACCTCCTACATTTGTTGTTCATAACGTGGTCGTTGATCAGACATATCCTTTAATGCTTGTTGATATTTGGTTCGTGTAAAACCAACTTCGCGTTTGGCCACATCAACTTTATCTGATAATTTTCGTCGTTGTTCATCATCCGAGGCATTTCGTTCATTGGCTTCCGCATGCTTTAACATTTTACATGATTGATAATATGATTGTTTTGATTCCTGAATTTTATTTAACAATTTTATCCACATCTTTTATACAGAATCATTAGCTTACTTCATTTTTTTACGAAAACAAGGGTTGCAAAATGCAGAATGCTTCATACCCTATTTTTTTATCCATTTTGGGATTACCAAACGGCAAAAATGATCCATATCGGGTTTAACCCATCTACACCATATTCAATAGAAAAACTAAGCTTGCATGAAAATCTATTAGACATTCCTGTGAAATTATGTTTTCGTGTTTGAAACGATTTACACAAAAGTGTTTTCATTTTTTCGTCGTTTACACATCTTTAGACATCGTTTCAAGACGAAAACGTAATCTCAAAGATGCTCTGGATAGTCTTTTATGTACGAGCGACTTAACTGATAAAAATTAAAGCTTGAATCATCTATGAATTAAACTATATTAGCCATCTAGTTAAAACTGACTACTATCGTAAGAAAGAAAAACATTTTCAACCAGCATTTTTCTGTTGTTATTAATCGCATATTAACCCTTTCGGGACCGGTGACACTTTAAATTGTCATTAAAACGATAAAAATCGGAATAAGCCGTGTTTTCCAAAACTTTCTTTTAAAGAAACGTCGCTCAAAATTCGATCATAATCGAATTTCAAATACATCATCTTATGCAGTTTTTGACGCTCTATCTTTTGATGTATAATACATTTGAATAATATTTAGTTCTGAGTTAGAAATCTAAGTTTTTGCGCAAATTTCAGTCCTTCTCAGTAAAAGAGGGTTTTGAGTACGAAGACAGAATCAAAAGTCAAAAATGTTTTTGTCAGTAGATAGCTCTTGAAATTCTCTATCGAGACATTGCCATTTGAATTTTTTTTGTCGAAAATCTCTTGGTTAGGAAAAACGAAATACTGAAGATGCGTTTTTTCCGTTTTTTTAGGAAAATACTGTTTTCTACCTAACTCCGTCAAAATAAGTTGAAACTTAACGATATTTTCACATATCGTAGAGTTTAGTGATAGCTTTCTTTTGACGAAAGGATGAAGTCTCTATCTGTCAGGGAAGCCGAGATATTGCAAAATAAAAAAGGTCTTAAACTTTTGAACAGCACTGTATATATAAAAATTAAACCGGTCCTGAAAGGGTTAAGCAGCTCAAGATATTTAACTTGATACCCCAAGTGGAAACGGTTTTATTGGTCACATGTTTTTGTTAGTCAGTTTTTTCTCTGTGACGAGACAAGCAAGTATATCATATTATATCTTCGTTGTATAACGATTAAATGGATAAAGAACGATATGCCTTAAGTTTATTTTTACAAAGACACAGAAAGGAGCGACATTTTATGCTGGTTTGTTCTTTGTGAACTGAATTTTTTTAATGAAACTTTTGAATTTTTTTTATCAACTGAAGAGTTTATTTGTAGTTCAAAAAACAATGTGAAGAGCATGATCTCATCTCTACTCATGCGATTGAAAAACATGTGAAGTTTTACAGCCGAAAACATGATCTTATTTCTATCACTATGAACTTGCAAAGAGGAATATAATTCGTTGAGTTGGAATCGAAATATAATGAGGCTTTTGTTTGAAAGATAATTAAACTATCTTTTAAAACGTCTTTGTTTCATGTATGTTTTAGATTTATCTGCCTTCAAGTCAAAAATAATGGTTGAAAATAATCCATCAAGCGATTTAACAGATCAAGTGGTTAATGTTGTGGGTAAAAGTCTCGATATGGTACAATCGGTTGTTGTCAGCATGGTTGAAGATGTTGAACAATCTGGTATCGAAGAGTTTACATTTTTTAATTATTGTTCGAGTTTCGTTGTTCACATTTTACTCATTGTCGTTGTAATCGGTCTCAAATATCAATATGATCGAAATCGTTATCGTCTACCATCTGGACCACATAAATTAAAACATCTTTATTCGTCATGGTTATTTCATCGAAATAAACGAGAAAATTTATTAAAATTATCTAAACAGTATCCACAAATGTGTACAATTCGAACGCATTTAGGAAAAGTTATTTTATTAAATGATCCATTGTTAATTAATGAAATATTTGTGGGTAGAGCAGATTTATGTAGTCAAAAAATTGATCATTTTCTAGAAAATCAATTACGATACAAACATGGAAAACATCAGCGAACAGGTTAAATGAAAAGTTTCTATTGTCGCTAATGAGGGAACCGTTCGAAGTGCCGTACTCCGATTTTTCTCGTTCATATGCCGTTCGATAGAGTATATTGAGATAAGAGAAAGTCTAAAAGAGTTTGAGCCCATGGCTCTTTAAGGCCCGGTTTTTTGGAAAACTAGTTTTTCAGAAAGTCTGAAAAATAACCAGAAGCTTTCTTAATGAGGCATGATTATAGCCCGCAAATTTCTTATTAAAATGAGATATCTTCCAGCTCTTCGCGACCTTTCTTTACAAACTTATAGAATTTACACAACAGCCCTAAATGTTCATTGTCAGCTGAAAGCTACAGAAATAGAAGAAATTAATGTAGGGCTTTTCGTGTAGATTCTACAACTTTGCAAAGAAAGGTCGCGAAGAGCTGGGAGATATCTCATTTTAATAAGAAATTTGCGGGCTACAATCATGCCTCATTAAGAAAGGTTCTGGTTATTTTTCAGAGTTTCTGAAAAACTAGTTTTCTAGAAAACTGGGCCTTAAAGAGCCATGGGCTCAAACCCTTTTAGACTTTCTCTTATCTCAATATACTCTATCGAACGGCATATGAACGGGGAAAATCGGAGTACAGCACTTCGAACGGATCCCTCATAAGCAAAATAAACACAATTGGATCTCATCATTTTCAACTATATTCTCATTCTCATTTTAGGCATTATCTTTCGTCATCATGATTACAATTCTCAATTGATTCATCGTACATTAGTTGATCATTTAACCGAAATTAAATTTGATTATTTTATTCAATGTGAATTTAGCCAATTAAAACTCTATTTAGAACAAAATGCGACAAAGTTCAACGTACAAGAAACAATGTTTCGGCTATCGGTACATATTTTAACGACAATTTGTTTATCAAGAACATTTATCTATGATTTAGGTAAGAAAAAGTGACATTAATTTTAACTCTGCAAACAATTTTGAACAATATTTTTTTGTTTATTAGGTGATAAAACATTTGAAACGTTCACAAAAGATTTATTTGATTTAAGTGCTGCCATTCATGAAGATTCTATACAGAAAACATGGGGACGAATGTTCTTATCAGAAATATTTGGTTATCCATCCGAATTATTGAAATTAAATAAACTTATTTCATCACAAGTACAATTATGGGTGGATCAACGACTTGATCAACGTAAAATATCGACATTCAGCGGTCACTCATATCCACATGATGTGTTAAGTTCACTATTTGAAATAGTTGAAAAATCATCACCTCATATTGATAATGAAGATTTGGCAGCAATTCTAGTGGATATAATTATGCACGGAAGTGAAATGATGAAATGTGCTTTGACATGGTTGTTACTATATACTGTGAAATATCCACAAGAAACCGAGTTAGCCAGACAAGAAGTAAAGTAAGTGTTCATAGGAAAAATTTTCTAATTTAATATTTGTTCTCTCATTTAGAACTCTTCATTATAACAGTTTTACTTTGAAAACTGTTGATGAACTCCTGTATTGTCGAGCCTATGTCAAAGAAGTATTACGTTTATCACCCGTTGTACCTGTTCTCCTACATTCAACACTGGAAGATTTTACTTGGCGTGGTTTTCACATAGAAAAACGAACATTATTTGGAGCGAATCTCTATGGATTACATCATTGTGAACAACATTGGGGAGTAGATGTGGAAAAATTTAATGTTGATAGATGGAGGATAAAGGAGGGTGATGTTGAAATATTGTATAGAGATTACTATCAACCATCGCTATTTGGATTGGGTCCTCGACAGTGTGTAGTAGGTGAAAACTATTTATTAAATATATTAACCGGTTTATTTGCTACAATGTTAAATCATTTTCGTTTTGAACAATATGATTCTCTTCCCGAACCAAATGAAGGTACATTTGGTATCACCAACATTCCACCAATGTTTTCACTTAAATTAAAATTAACATAACATTGAACAGTATGTCAACAAATATCTCAGTAACAGTTCGATTTATTTTTAATGCTTTCTTCGATAATCAAATCAAATTTTTTTTTACGTTATATTATAATAAAAGTATTTTTTCATCTATATATTAGATTAAGCAGAGGAGGAATTAAATATACACCGATACTCTTTTCGCTTAGGCCTTGTCCAGACTACAAAAGTTAAGTGAGAAACCCGTAACCGTATTGGATGAAAAAGTTAATTCCAACTTATATTAAGGGAACGTTTCATAATATATTCCGGTCGGTCGCTATTCCTTTATTCCGCTGTTCCGAGCACACGACTTTAAATCGTGTGCTCGACATGACTTAAGTTAATAGTTAAGTGAGAAAAGAGTATAGTCTGGACAAGGCCTTAGGTTCTAAATCAGATTAAAGTAACAGGTGTTCCGTACTGATATGTTAAGCTGTAATTCTCTTTTCGTTTTCTCATTCTATGAGTGTTCTATAAAACTTTTGTAGCGAACTAAACACCAAGCCTTGTCTATTTATCTGCATTCTGATAAGCTATTTGCCTTTTTCATCAGTAGGATTTTGATAAAGAGATACAATGTTTCGTTCTAGACTAGAGCCAAGCAGAGATATGATTAATCGTTATATAAAGAAAATTAGTTAGTCTTTCATGTTTGGCGCCGTTTCTGCATATAGCATTTCAGTCTGCCGGCCATAGGTAGTTACCATTTCTCAATAAATCTGTCCTCATTTTAAAATGGAATGGGATCTACTTAGACGTTTATGCATAATATAAAGATAGTCAGAAAAATCAAAGAGACCACCAGACCACTATTAATCAAAAGAAGAGCAATTATATTGAGTGGATCAATGAAAGTGAGTATTGATATAGCTAATCCAAATTCATCAAATGTAGTCTGTTTTTATTTATTATCTTGTATTTAGTCTGAAGATGGTTCAACAATTAATGTTGCTCCTCAATTGTCAGATAATACGAAAGGATCTTTATGGGCTGAATACAAAGCATCGGATGGTCGAACATATTACTTTAATAATGTATCTAAAGAATCAAGATGGGATAAACCAGATAAACGTAAAACACAAGTTGAAGTAAGAAAATTTATATTTTATTTCTGTTAAAAGATCGGACGGAAACATCGTACACACTCTTTTCATATGCAGAATCAAATATTTTTTGAGTTGAATCGAAAAAAATAGATTAGTTTCTTCCAATGCTTCAAAACAAACGTTTTTATTCCAGGGTAGTAAGTTGTAATAACGTTGAAACAAAACAATCCAGGTGGGTAAAACCACAAGAACTTAAAGATTTAGAAAAACTTTTACAGCGAAAACAGCAAGAATAAATGCACAAAAGTAAGAATTTCAGTCTCTGTTCTCAGGAAATATACTACCCATATTTTGTTCTCAGTATAACATCTGCATGTGAACTTGTTTCATTTACACAACAAATGCTTGCAAATAATCAAGTTTGTTTCTCGTACTCAAATTATCTTCCAGTGTCCTTGACATTTTTGTATTCCAGAAATTCCAATCCTTTCTTTGTGGCCCTCAAATGATACTCTACCGTCAGTCGATCCCAATAGTCTTGCTTCTCTAGTATAAAGAACGATTTTCAGATTGATCTATAATAAACTTCAAGTATCGTAATTTTTACTTGTTTTTTCTTCTAAATTTCATCTTTCTTTTAGTTTCATCTTCTTTCTCTGATGAAAATGACAACCACAAAAATACAAATTCTTCATTGATTCACTCGAAAAAAATTTAATAGTCAATCATATGATCTTGTTTCTGTTTTACATATTTGATCACAAGTTGTCTCATTTTCAGTATTTTTTCTTATGCTCTCAAAAATTGGTGGTGGTACAAAATTTTCTTGATTATTCTTATATCTCATATATTTGTACATTTTCTTTCTAAGAAGAATATCTCGTCCCTCTGTAGTATTCTATTCTTGTTAATTAATGAAAGAAAACTCTTCATTACATCCTTTTAGTCACTTGACTAATATTTTCTCACTTTCAGACTTATTATTTTTTGTACTTTAGTTGGAAAATTTTTTTTAGATTTTATTTTTTTCATATTTATTTTTTCTTATTAGATTATTTATAGGTATACCATTTAAAATATTTTGATTAGTTTTGGTTTTATTTAATACTATAATTTGTAAAAAAAAATACATAAACGTTTCCCGTTCTCTCTTCGGTGACATCATGTGTCTAACTAAGGCGAAGAACTCATTCACGAAAGTGACAAGAAGTCTGCTGAATCTTATAAGAATCTCACAAGAATTCATAAGAAATTGATAAGAGTCAGCAAAACTCGTACGTTATTCTTATCAGATTCTTATGAGAAACATGATCGAATCTCCTACAGAAAAATTTCAGTATAGTACTGAAAAAAGTCCGGCACTACCAGTGTGGACGGCATGCTACGTTGCACTGGTACGTACTACTTCCACATTTTTCCAGTCACCGTTTGTTATCTACGATTGCACTATGTTTTACTCGGACTTTTCTTCGAGAACATAGTGCAGTCAAATTTGATTGCACTATGTTCTCGAAGAAAAGTCTGCGGCATGTCATATTGCTTAGAGCTCGCTGTTGTATCCTGAGTAACATCTCTTAGAAATTAAAAATTACGTTTTTAATAAAAACCTTTGTTTTTTACTTTATTTTTCGTTCAAAATGATCTAAACTATCTATGACGATATTTTGTGAATGTATTTGATAATAAATTATTTTATCCAAAACAGTTCATTATTTACATGCACTCACCCTGTAAATGTCGATGTAACTGTACAAAAAAGTATGTAAATCGATTCATTTTATTTTTTCACAAGCATGACCAGATTATTCTAAGTTAATACTCGGAATACTAACTTTCGCCTATAATACTGTCGTATTGTGTAGAAGTAAACAATACTCGATCTTTCAGTTTTTTTCTTACAACTTTAAATTCGTTGGTTAACTATGCAGTCAGTTATCTAGTTTAATTTATTATGTAATGTTATGTAATTGTTTGTTAAACGTTATGTAATTTAATCCAGTTGTTACAATTCCTGCACAGTTTGAAGTAGATTAACTTCTTGGATAAATATTTTTTTCATATTCATTTTGTTTTTGTCAGTAAACAGAACATTAAATGTATGTTGACTGTGTTTATGTATACATGGTTTTTTAAATCAGCTGAAGAAAAGATGGACGCTAGATATTCTTTTCTTTCCGAGAGAATCACTTGACTTTTTTTATTTTACGAAGAACAAAATATCGCCGTTCTCTTTATGTACATATATAGCGCTATACACAAATAAAAAGAGAAAAAAGCTTTTATTTTCACATCTAGAACTCTATTTCGTTTAGTGACAGGATAATCTAGACAAACTTTGTATATTTTTTCCTCATAATAATTAACAATAACTCCAAAAAGGATCTTAAAAAACACGTTTTATCTGTGTGCGCTTGTAATCCAGTGGTTTGTTTATCTGTGTAATGTAATGTTAGATTGAACGAAATTTTTAAACTCTACCATTTTAGATTTCGTTGCCTTAAAGCTCCATCAACAGTTGTAACAACAACAAAAAACGGTGTAAAAAAGTATTCAATTCAACAACAACAAAGAGTTTGTTTAGCTGCGGACGGTTATTTACCTATCGACAACGAGATATTACAAAATTTTTTTACTTACAAATCAAAGTATATACACACTTTTTACTGCTCTGATCAATTATTTATTGATAAGATAAAGATGATATTATTTCGAAGCATTTACTGTGCGCGCTTAATATTCCAGTGAAATACAGTAGTGTGTAAAATTATAGATTCACTTGTTGAGACCTGTGCTTTTTTACTGCAAAAAAGTGGTATGTGTTTTGACACGGATATGTTTCTCTATAATGAAATGACGTGTGGAACTCGCGAACCTCTCATTTTGAAAGAAAAAGTGTCGTCTATTTGAATTCGTTGTCAAAAAAAATGAGTTCAGTCTCTATTTCAAATTTCGTAGCCAAAATTCTGAATTTGGGTGATGTTTTCAAGCAATTTGGGCTTGTTCAAATTGAATAATAATTCAAATAGAGATCATTTTTTAAAGTCTTTTTTATGAAAATGTTCAGAAACAACTTTCTATCTGTCTGTGTAACTTTCGAGCCAAACTAACGTCTGTTTGGTACAAAAATAACGAAAATACGATATCGAGTCTATAAATGTGAACAGGCAAAAAACGACGGGTTTCAATAAACGTTTATTTTATCGAACTTGAAAGTTATATTGAGCAAATCTGATTTCATATTCGGATATAGCATAATCGAATGTATATAATCACAAAGAGTTTTCTTTGTACAAGAGTGTACAGTAGTCAAGACTGGTCAAGCAACTGGGTTTGAACAGATGAGCCTATAATTTTGCACAATACTGTAAATTTTACGGAGAAGAAAACCTAATACTGGTAGTTAATGAGTACGATAAGTGTCACCTGCGTTTTGATCAGATTGACAAATCATAATAAGATAAAAATTCTATAACTGTTAATAATCTTCCCTTGTATATTTTAGTATGGCTATCTATTTATCAGCCGAAAAAGAACGTGAACTCATTGAAACAGCCCGTCGTATGTTGGAGGGAGGCAAAGGTTTATTGGCTGCTGATGAAAGTACAGGTATGTTTATCTTTTTTGTGTCTTATCAAAAAACGAAACAAAAGGGAATAATCTTCGAGGAAGAGTCATCAGTTTTGAAATTTCAAGTTTCTTTTTTGTACTCTTCTAGGTTCAATGGCCAAACGTTTACAATCAATTGGCCTAGAAAATAATGAAGAAAATCGTCGATTATATCGTCAAGTATTATTCACTGGTTCAAAAAATTTACCTCGAAGTATATCCGGTGTAATCCTCTTTCACGAAACACTCTATCAAAATGATGATAGTGGAAAACCATTCCGACGTAATTTGTTTGTTTCTTATTCGACATTTTAATCGGCTTAAAGTAGCGAACGTATC